ACTGGATCGAGCGGATGGAGACGTATTTTACTCTTTATGGCTATTCGTCAAAAGAGAAGATTGTGTTCGCGACTTTGAAGCTTTCAGGACATGCGTTGACGTGGTGGAAATCCTATTGCAAGCAAGAGAAGAAGGCGGTGTCGTGGAACAAGTTCAAGGAGCTACTTAGGAAACAGTTCTATCCGGTGGGATTCTTTGAAGAACGTTGGTACAAGTGGTACGGCTTGCGTCAAAGGGTCAATCAAACCGTTCAAGAATACACTACGGAGTTCCAACAGCAGGCAATGGTTCTTAACATTGCGACAGAGGAATATTCCGTATTTATGAAGTATATGGCGGGATTGAGCGATTACATCCGAAAGGAGATGAGGTTATTCACGGTCGAGACTATTGCAAATGCAAGCGTGAAGGCCATTGCCATTGAGGGCAAGCAAAAGAAGAGCAACGAAGCAAAGGGGGATGCAAAGCAAGTTGGAGGCGAGTCTAGTGGTTCTCAGTTTAAGGAGGAGAAGAAGAAGGGTGATCCAGGGAAAGCAGGGCTGATTTGTAGTCACTGCGAGAAGACAGGACACGAAGCTGATCGGTGCTGGGAGAAGTATCCTCATCTCAAACCAAGAGGGTTGAAGAAGAAGGAGGAGAAAAAGGCATACATGATAGCTCAAGGTCCGAAAGAAGTCTTGGGGATGACAGAACCTAATAGCAGTCTCAATCTTATGGCGGGGAAACAGACCACGAAAGAGGACGACGACCCGAGAGAGCAGCTCTTTGTTCTTAAGTTGCAAGTGAAGACCAGTTTAGTTGATACCATAGTTGATCCGGGCAACGAGAAGAATTTGATATCCGAAGCCTTGGTTCAGAAGCTGGGTCTGAAGACGGTCAAGCATCTGAAGCCCTATCCATTGGGATGGATTCAGAAGGAGGAGAAGCTATGTGTAGTTGATCAATGCACTGTAAGATTTGCGCTCCATGAGTCGTATATTGACGAGGTCACATGCGACGTAGTTCCATTGGATGTTTGTCAGATTATACTGGGCAATCCGTACTTATGGGATAGATATGCGATCTACGAGAGGCGGGCTCAGAAGTATACATTCACCAAGGGTGGTGAAAAGTTCATATTTCGTTCGGCATCTCTTCCGAGGGAGACAAGCTTGGGAACGGTGATGCGAGCGAAGAGGTTAGTGAATGCAAGCAAGAAGTTTGTCTCGCTGTGCATTAGACTTCCAGAAAAGCCATCGATTAAGGATTGCAACTTGGAGCGAGAAGTGACTACGACGAGACGCGGGATGAATGAGTTATTTCCGATCGGACGTCGAGATCAGATTCCTAGCAAGGCCAGGTGGTTCAGAAAAGGAGGAGGGGCTCGCGAGTTCCCTCAGTTTCAGTTCTAACTTGAACGGGACTTCAAGTTCCTAAAGGGGGGACCCATGATACGGGTGTATCTTCTCTTCAGGAGCTTAGCGATCCTCATGGGAGCTTGAGGATAGGAGATTCTCATATCTTGGGAATAGGAGCATGGATGGAGCCAAAGAAGACGATGAAAGAAGTCAACATGAGCGTATCGCAAAAGAACAGGGTAAACTGGCAGATCTCTGTCCGGTCGACCGCAGCACACATGCCGGTCGACCGGAAAACCTGCACGGTGCAGGGTTTGAGAAAACTCTCTGGCCGGTCGACTGGACCAAGCCTGGCGGAAAGGAAATCTTAAACAAGCTTTAAAGCTAGTTCCTAGTAGAATTTGTCTAACCACAGATTTATGGACTTCTTCCACCTCTGACTACTATATGTCTCTCACTGCACATTATGTTGATGACTGTTGGATATTGCAGAATAAGATATTAGCTCTATCTCATGTTTCACCCCCATATAGTGGAGCAATTTTAGTAGAGAAGTTATTTCATTTGTTGAAGGATTGGGGTATTGAAAAAAGAATTTTTACTATTACCTTGGACAATGCATCATATAATGATGTTTTCATGAGAATTTTAAAATATCATCCAGTTTTAGAAGATCATTTTGTTAGCAATGGTGATTTTTTGCATGTGCAGTGTTGTGCTCATATTCTAAATATTGTTGTGCAAGATGGGCTAAAGGTTATTGATAAATCATTGTCTAAGATAAGAGAATGCATCAAGTATGTGAAGAGTCCTCCTGGAAGAAAAAAGAAGTTTGCAGAGTGCATTGCACAAACTTGTTCAGGTAAAGCGAAAAAAATTCAACAGGATGTGTCCAACAGGTGGAATTCTACGTTTCTAATGTTGGAGAGTGTTCTGAACTTTCGTCGGGCATTTGAGCACTTGGAGTCGATTGATCCAAACTTCACTTTTTTGCCATCAAGTGAAGAATGGGTAAAGGCTGAAAAAATTGCAAAGTTTTTAAAACCATTTTATGAAGTGTCCACTCTTTTTTCTGGAAGTAAATATCCAACTGCCAACTTATATTTTGGTGGAGTGTTTAAGATTCAAAAATGCATAATGGAGGAGATGAAAAGTGATGATCAAGATATAAGATCCATGGCAAATGATATGAAAATAAAATTTGATAAATATTGGGAATGCTACAGTGTTATTTTGTCATTTGCAGTCATTTTGGACCCCCGATACAAGGTGAAGTATGTAGAGTTTTGCTTTGAGAAATTGGGAGTTAGTTCTGATTATGTGTTGACTATCTTAGAGAAACTGAGAAAGCTTTACAAAGAATATGAGCGAGCATCTCTAGATACAGCTGTAGCTGAGAGCAGTGGTGAAGAGAACTTTGGAGATGTCCCTAATGATGAGATGATTGAGTTTGAACAGTTTGAGAGTCAACTATATTTAGCAAGTAGGTCCAAGTCTCAGTTAGAAGAGTATCTAGATAAAAAATTAGTCAGTTGGAAGAAAAATGATCATTTGAATGTTCTCGAGTATTGGAAAGGCGAATGCGAGAAGCATCCTCAATTGTCGATGATGGCTCGAGATATATTGAGTATTCCTATTACTTCGGTGGCCTCTGAATCGGCTTTCAGCATTGCGGGACGTGTGCTTGAAAAGTATTGAAATCGTCTTCTTCCGGAGAATGCTGAAGCTCAAATTTGTACTGGTTCTTGGTTAGACGGTATTCCTTGTGAGTTGCCTTTTTTTTCCTTTATTGCTTTTTTGTATTGTTGTGGGCTACATATTTTATCACAAAATATTAATATTATGTTTTCTTATTAAATGCAGCTCTGGCAGACATTGAAGAAGGAAATTTATTAGTACAAGATTTTAGTAATCTAGAGGTTTCTGAATCGGAAGGCGAAAGTGATTAGGTGATGATACTATGTTTTATTCATGCATATTTATTATCTCCCAATTCCCATCTTATAATCTATGAATCTTCAGTACTTCAATTATACCCAAATTTATGAATCTTCAGTACTTCAATTATACCCAAATTTATGATGTTTCAAAAAAATGGCAAGAGAATTCAAATCCTTGGAAATCAGATGGTAGCCAGGTACATTCAGACATGTCATGCTCTGCCTCCAGAACTTTAAATTTTGCTGACTATTAAACCTTTTCCATAATGCTGAATTTATGGTTGTGTACTATCTATATTCTTACTCATCATACATCATTTAAGCGTTCCATCTGTTTGGTCTTCATCATATGGCATTTAACTGCTAGTTTTCATGTCTTACATGTTTCAACATATTGTTAGCAGCACTTTGAGAACAGTAAATATTCACAATTCCAAACCCATCCACTTTCAATATGATTCAATATATCTAACTAAATTATTTATGGATTCAAAGTCTGTATTTCATCAGTGTGTGAGGGTCAAATATTTGTCATATATTAATAAGCTTGTTGTTTGTAACTTCTTTATGATTAACTTAGACGTCATATCCTCTTTTAATAAAGTTTCAGCAAGCATTTTCATTTATGTTAAACATCTGCTCTCTTATTAGAGATGTAGATATTATATGCATGTACAGCTTTCATGTCTTACTAGTTTATTTTGTATTGTAGTGTTAACATAAAGATTCTTATGACTTGCAGGTGTTTGGTATATTGTGTATGAGAGGAATTTGTGCCTTGACATCATGGATAACGCGCCACAATGCCTACTCTTCAAAGCCTACCTTTTGTTTGTATGGCAATGCATGCCAGCCTCGATTATTTGAATTTGGAATTGAATGTAGCACTCGTAAACTTATATGCTTGGGTCTGCAATTCTATCCTTTTCTTTTCGTTTATTTCCCTTGTTATGTAATGCTTAGAAGAACATATATTGTTATTAGTATAATCGAAAAACTTGGTATGTAAGTTGTTGTGTATATTCTTGTTCCAGTACAGGCTGCTTTGACATGTTTGAACATTTTGAGAACGTTTCCTGTCTATAATTTCCACTGGCTTTATTGATATCTCGATGCTGCAGGGTTATAAGTGTGTGAGGTAGTTATGTCAATGATGTTTGTGGCTGAATTAGTCGACATGGTGTCATTTGCATAACGCTGCTCCGTTTCAACATTGTTCTCACTGTGTCGACTAATTCACCGTATCACGATATAACTATCATAGTTTATAAAAAAATGCTAAAAGTTTACAGAAACACCACAAAAGTATTATATATATAGCTTTCATAGTTAAACGGGCAAATGGGCGGCCCGATTATTAAATGGGCGGGCAAAAGCCCGCCCATTTAGAAAATCTTAAATGAGCCATAAATGGGTAAATGAGTAAAATATGCCCGCCCATTTATGACCCGCCCGTTTAATGACCAAACCCACCCGTTTAACATCCCTAATCTCGAGGTTAGGATCATTTTGAAAAAATGAGATGCATCCCCTATTCCCCCTCTACAGAGACACCCGCGGCCCGAAACGGAATCCCCTACTGCTGCCTCCTCGAGTCAGGACCGACGCATCTAGACACAAAACACGCGTCTAGATTTACACTCTCGCTCCTTAGTAAACAATAATTAACCAATAATGCTCCGGTCTCACCTAACTCTATAGTATTAATAAATTTTATTTTCCTATTAAATGGAAAGGTACAACGTGGACTGAGATGAGCCGCTCCCATTTCTTCCTTCAGTATTCGTTCGTCCTTCCCTGTTTAGATCTGTTATGGCTGCTGCTAGACCTGATCTATTTCTTCTTCCTCGTTTCGTTTTGATTCCCATTTCTGTGATCTGATCTGTTGAGAATTTTCATTTTCATTGTCTAAAGTTTTGCGTTGTTATCTTCTTTATTTGCTCAAAACCCTAGCTTTCGTCCTCTGGCTTCTTTGATGAGTGAGGTTGGGAAAAATTGAAAGGCTCCTGTTCGAAGAAACTGTACAGGTGAAGATCACGGACGATTATCTAGATTCTGTTTGTTTATTTTATTTTATTTTTTTGCCTTTTCTTCGATTTTCATCTGTTGTATGTTTTGTTGGTAGCGTATGAATAGCAATTTCATGTTTGTCATAGAGGTACGAGTTTGTTTTATTGTTAGTTTTCATCAGACATACGGTTATTGGGAACTTACCTAATTGCCAGTTCAATTGCATGTTTAAACTTTTGTAGACGCTGAACTCCTAAAAGTTGTTCAGAATTTATGTCTTTTAAAGCTCTTGTGTTGTGTTTTCTTATCCTTATATTCCTAGCAATTTGTTTTGGCTAGAAAAATGTGTCTTCTGAATTGTGGTACTAACTGCTACAAAGATGTTGTTGAATAATAGGATGGATTCTCTTTTGTCTTTTTTCTTCTAGCTAGTTGTTACTCCATCGACGCACCTTTATCACATTGCTACAATCATTTCACACTTTTTTCTTCTCTAAAAAATTTATCAAACATTTCCTTTTGTATCATTTCATGTGTATGTTCTTAGTTCTAAAGTTGGTCAACTTCTTCTTTATAAAATCTCTTGAAATAGTTCTAGTGAGTTTGTCGATTCCATGTTTGACCACCTAGAGACCAGAAATGGAACTAGATTGTTTCTAATCCTACTAAGTGTTTTCTGACTCTAGTCTCCACTATATACAATCTCGGATATCCTTGAATGGTTGATGAATTTGAATTAATGGTTATTTAGTACCTGTATTGCACAATATAAATACATGATGTGGATGTTACACAATATGGTTTGGGGATATCACAGGGCATAAATATTAATAAATAGTGATGCTTGTGGATATTGGAATAGATACAATCTTTACAAGTACATATGTTTGTTAACATTAAACTTCTAACACTTATATATGGCTTTATACTATCAAATGTTCTTTGTTACTTTATTTATAAAATGGGAAGATCATATAGATGCATGTAAAAGTAAAACTAAATTGTGTTTTTTGTCTTTTATACATCAGCATACTCCCGTACACATTATCTACTATGAAGCAACTGTTGTAGGTATATCTTCTCAACTAATTGCTTGTATTACATAGTTTTCAGTTAATGACTAATGACTCCTAAGACTTGTAAAGGTTTCATGCACTTCTTTTTCATGTTCGCTGAAACACATGGAAACGAGAAAAATGAAATGAGTATGTTTGCTGTAAAACTGGTGGAACCCTCAAACAAACTTAAGCAATAAAGAGAGAAATAGATGAAGAGTATATTGAAGACCTTAATAAGTTATTAATCTTATTCCATCCTCAAGAAGCGGATTTTTAACAATAGGATCTCATGTGATTTTTCACAAAAAAAGCTTCTTATATTTCACCAACCACTGTTCTTAGCTATTTCCTTAACGTTAGCTTAGTATGAGTCACTGTTATAAATAGCAGCGCTAATAGCGTTAGCGGTCCTTTCCCGCGACGCTATCACCCGCTACGCTATCGCGCAATAGCGGTGACATATTGCGGAATATGTCTGTTCTAAAAAACGACCAATAGTGTGTCATAACGGTAAATAGAGAGCGATTGCATTCGAAATTTGTTTTTTAACTACTATTTAAAAGCGGTTTGAGGCTTATTTTTTAAAAACTAAACTCAACCCTTGACCATTGTATTCCACCGTCTCCTGTAATTTTCAGTATACTCCCGCCACCTCTCATAACCTCTGGCACCTACCTTGATACTTCTCTCACCTCCTTCACCGTGAGCTCCTCTTAGGGCAGTCTTGTCACCGCTAAGCTCTTCTTCTCGAAGACGACGAATTTTTGACTCCTCGAGTTATCTTCGGTATTACGTAATGGTTACATGTCTATTTCATATTTAGGATCTCTTTAAATCATCCAATATGTATTTTTAGATTTCTTAGATTTTTCTTTAATTAGTATTTATACATATCTAAATTAGACCGCTATTTGACTTTGCGCTTTTTATCGTTATTTTGCCACAATAGCCCAAAATAGGCTTAGCGATGCCTCACCGCTACGCGACGCTATCCGCTATCGATAACCTTGGTATGGGTCTAGTGGGGCTAATACATGAAGAGAATGAGTCTTGGATATGTATTTGCTTTCTTTCAGAATAACTTAGAGGCCTTTAGCAATAGGATCTCATGTGATTTTTCACAAAAAAGGCTTCTTATATTTCACCAACCACTGTTCTTAGCTACTTCCCTAACGTTGGCCTCAGGCTGGGTCTAGTGAGACTGATATGTGATGAGATTGAGTCTTGGAAGTGTACCTGCTTTCTTTTGGAAAAACCTTAGAGGTCTTCTGATGCCTTCCATCTTGAAGGGGCACTGATCCTTGCTGCAGGAATTAGGCAGGGGGAACTTGAGCCCTTTAAGATGGAGGGCTCTAGAACAATTCTCCAATGAGAAACTTTATGATATGATGTGTAGTTTGGGAGTGGCAGGATATATCCGCGTTAAACGGATCCAACAGAATTGGTTTTTGCTTATTCGTGTAAACAAGTTTAAAGTTGAATATTAGATCCAAGACCCAAAGTGACAAAATTTGATAGAAATCCTTCCTAGAAGTTCCGAACATATGAAAGCACCTTTTTGTCACTTTTTAGTTTGCAACATATTGTTATTTGTCACTTTGGGAGTGGCAGGATATATCCAAGTCAAATGGATTTAACAGAAATGGTTTTGGCTTTTCATGTAAACAAGTTTACAGTTAACATTAGATCCGAAACACAGTGACAAAATTTGAGAGATTCCTTCCTTGAAGTTTCGAACATATGAAAGCAGCTTTTTGTCACTTTTTAAATTGTGACATATTGTTATTCATTTCCAATGTTTTTAATGAAAATTAAGTCTCATTATTATAATATTTGTACTTGACAAAAACCTTCTATTTTGAAATTTTGGATAACAAAATATTTTTCTAATAGTTACTGTCAAAATGTAAATGTAATTCATAATTTTGATAGAAATAAGAAGAAACTAGCGCTTACTGTCTAAAAACACAAAATTTGAAAAAAGCTACTAATCCTAATCTCAAAGCACACATTTCTAGAATTTTAAAAATTACTAGCTGTAGAAGAACATGACCTAAGATTAGGTAAAGTTCAAATAGTAAGCTAGCATGGAAGCTTTTATTTGGTCGAAATTTACTTAACATTAGAATAAAGAACAGTCATAAACTAATTGAGAAATATGAATATTATGAAAGGTTATTTTTTTGAAAATCTTCATCTTTTAAGAATGTACCTATTATCAGGAATGTTTCCCATTAGCTATTTTATTTTTCTTATCTCTTAAGAGGTTATCACTAAAACTTTGATACTCCTCTGTCAATGGCTGAAATTTTAGTCGTCAATGCCTAGAAGTCTGTTCTACCTTACCTAGATAACAATATCATGATTTTGAGCCTGGATGGGAAACTTTATTCTCCAATTACTTTTAGAATGTCGGTGTATTCTACATTTTTGTCGTTAAGATTTTTGTTCATTGACTGTTAAACATTTGACAGTAATTAGTTCTCATTGGTATTAATTAATATGTAGGTCAGCAAGTGCTTGTATACTTCTTTTGGTGTTGCCCTTCTGTTTTCGTTTTTTGTTTTATAAAATGTTAACTTTGTAATGATGAAGTTTATAAACCCTTAATATTGCTTTATTCACATTTTGTCTTCTTGATTTCCACCAACCTTTCTTAAAGATATTCAACTTTTAGGTTCTGTAAGAATCTATGCTGTTATTTTCTTATGATAACTAGGCTGTCAATCCACATCATAATAGTTGGTTTCTACTAAAACAATGTGTGAAGGTTCTTTGTCAGCTAAATGACCCCAATCATGAGAGTGAAGTGGAAAAAGGGGTGAAACTCTTGTTGACTGTAACTACTATAGAAAAGCCCAAGCCCAAAAACACTTACGATTTGTAACTCCGTGATTTGTCCAATTAGTATTTCATTTTGCATAAACCCCATCCATAAATGTACATTTGACCATTTATGCTAAGCTTTACTAAACTACCACAAACCTTGAGACTTGAGTGAATCAACATGGATCTTTTGTGATTTCATATGACTATCTTCCGACTTCCATTATTTTGTGTTTTGCATCAGCTTCTTTAGTTGATAAGCTTTGGACGGAAATGCCTCTGAGTGATCTTCTTCTTCTCTTTCATCACTGTTGTAATTAATTTGAGAACATTTCTTAGAAAATTTAAAGATCCATCTGTTGTCTTATTGCTCCATAGTGATTTATAAACAATCTTATGATCTTTCTTTTGCATGGACACGATTACTTGAAGATTATGTTCTTGGTTGTAATCTTCTAATTTCAAATTTAAGAGGAAGCAGAAAATGATGATGACAAAGAAGAAGAAGATGAAAAGAAGAAAGGGAAAAAAAAACGGTATAATATAGTTTGCTTTGAAAACACGGGACAAGGTAATGTAAAAACCAATGATATAATAAGAGGAGGTGATGTAAATCATTCTTGTAAAGGCTGGAGTTGCCATATAGAATCATTACACATGAACAATTCTTGTTATAACCAATAGTCTTACGACACAAGCCACAAGTTAAACTAGGTGATAACACTTATAGTTTCTCTTCACTCATAAAAGTTGCTTAAACTCTACTTTCATATATGTGAAATCTTGATAGCAACATCAATGCCCTTGCACATTCTCGATCGTAACCAATCAACATTCCCTGACCCTCTAAGATCCACATCCATGAAGGAAAGTGTTGATGTTTTCTGATCTAATATAGAAGCAATCTTTCTTATTGAATTTAGGCCTAATTACACAAAGCTACCATGAATTTTCGTTTCTCTACTAAAGACCATAAACTTTGGATTAACAACTACAAGTTTTTTATTTTTAGAAAACTTTCTAATGAGTATAGTCTTAAAAGTTAATGTATGACCAATGTTAAAAATAACTATAACGCATAACATAATGTTCTACCTTCTATTAAGAGTTAAAAAAGGTAAAAGAATGCAATA